TTTATATAATGTTTTAAATCATATTGTCCTATGATTCACTATTTTTATATTACTCTAACATCTAGTAATTAATTATTATGCACCCTATCATCCAACTACTATATAAGAGCATGTTAAGTTATATTATAAAAACAATCCTATGAGCAGTGCTCCCACTTTAACATCAATTTTAAACTGTATTTTAAAATGAGTTTATAAAATAAAGTGCCTTTAACAATAATTTGTAGTTAATTTATTAATAATAATCTTGATAAAAGCGGACAACTTTTAAAAAATAAATAAACTAGCTGATTTACGGTAACCGTGAGCTGGTTATCGGTCGGATAGCCACAGGAGCTCACAGTATTAATTATTGTTTGAGCAAATATTCTTAAATTAAATATTAAATTAAAAAACAATTATTCTTTGTATTATAATGCCATGGTTAAATTAATTAATTTAATTTGTCATGGCCTTATTTTCATCGGGTTAATATGGCCCCAAATGTTCATTTTAAACTTATCGAACGAAGTTTGCTTCTTAAATTCAACTTTCCTTGGTAATACAACTTTTGGTGTCGTACCCTTAACCACATGGGAAGGACTGTCCGACAAATCCATCGATTTGTCTACCGATTCGTGAGTTGACTCTTGTGATACATTACGACGAAATTTATTTGGCTGTAAAAACTGCGAGCAATTGTATAGCGTGTCTGAGTCGTCAATGACCCGGGACACATTAGCCGGTACAATATAATCCAGTACCTCATCCGTAGTCACGCTGTCGTACATGGGGTTACTAAGGGAATTGACAGGAACCGTAGGTTTGGATGCAATCTTTGGTTTAATAGTGGAGTAGGTTTCCGATTGACATTCAAATAGAGACCCATTTGTACTGTAATCTGTAAAACAGTTTAAAAGAAAATTAAAGTATTAACATGGTTAATTTATAAATAGTAAATTTTCTGACATACTAAATTATATAATAAATTAAAAAATCTAGTTTACAATAAATGTACCATTAGCATCATTTATTTCCTGGGCTACCATTCCAATCAGGTCCACCACCTCGGCCATGGACGGCCTGACAGCAGGATCCTTTGACCAACACTTTGTCATTATATTTTCGATGACTTGGGGACAGTTGTGCAATAGGGGCGGACGTTTACCCCTATGGGCGGCCAATAATATAACCAAATCCACGTTTTCCAGCCAATCAAATGGGATACGCCGGGCCAACACCTCCCACAATATTATGGCCCAACTATAGACGTCGCACTTTTCGGTATATTTTTTCCCTTCAAACACTTCCGGTGCCATCCAACGGGATGAGCCCTATTTGTAAATTATCTTAAAAATTAACCTAGATCAACAAAACCTTTTAATAAGATGTTCAAACCTACAATCGTTTAGTATCGGTAATAAAATTAATAACATTTATGTCATACATTATACGTTATTTTTATCTATCTACACTCCGCGTCATATTGATAGAGTCAGGCGTATTTCTCGGTTAATTCACGGGGTAGGTCAGATAATCATATGATAAATTAACAGCAATTAGA